GATGCAAAGGATCAGGAAGCAGTGGTGGTTCCCCAGGTGTCTGGGGGGCCAAGATGAGGAATGGGACAGGACCCAGGCTAGGAGGAGTTACAGGTGCGGGAAATGGGAGGGTGAATGAGGCTGGGGGAGTCAAGGTGCAGAGGGCGCGATTGACTTACCCTGGAGAGAGAGGCCTGTGGGTCGTGCAGGCCCAGGGAAGCAGAGGGCCATATGGACTTTTTATACAGAGGATCCCCTACACCCAACCCCCTCTACCTACCAGGAGCTCCAAATTGCCAGTGTTGTGCGTAAGGGGGAAATCCCAATGAGGTATGGCCACCTTATGCTCCCGAGGCATGTGTATTTGCCTGCTGTGTGAATGAATCAAGGACTCTATGAGTCCTGTGGCAACTATGGTGGCTACCTTGACTAGGCTTTCTTCTGTCTTCACACTTGAGTAGGCTAGTCTAGAGCTCTAGACTGACTGGTGACAAGCTTTTCCCTCAGGAACTTGGAGGCATTGTTCCATGTGGTGCCCAGTGTTGCCAGTGAGACAGGATCCAGTTCTCATTCCTGATGTGGGAGCCTCCTTCTCCCCTGTGGAGGCCTTCAGGGTTTCCTTTGTGTGGCTGGTGTTTTGAAGTCTCATAACATCTTTGGGTGTGGCTCTCTTTGTTCATTGCACCGTGTACCTAGTTGGGGTCTTTTACTTCAGGAAAACTTTCTGGTATTTCTGTGTTTTTCTCTCTGTCTTCCTCCCTCCCTCCCTCCCTCCCTCCCTCCCTCCTCCCTTCTTGACAGTAACAAGGCCAAGCAGCTTCCCCACCATATCCCCATATCCTCTCGCTGCCACCTCATCACAGTCCCAGAAACAATTTACACGATCATGAACTGCAACCACCCCCCTCTCCCCTGCTCTCTCCTCACTGTGTAGTCTTGGTTGACCAGGAGCTCACAATATAGACCAGGCTGGCCTTGAGCTTTCAGTAATCATCTTGCCTCTGCCTCCTGAATGCTGAGATTACAGCTGTGTACTCAGGTGCTTTTTTCTTTTCAAAGTAATAGAATTTATTTTTTGAGGCTAGCCTTGCACTTGGAGCAATCCTCCTGCCTCAGCCACCCAAGCACTGGGATTACAAGCATGCACCACCACTCCTAGCTTGTGTTAATTTTTTTTTCAATGTATATATTTTTATTGAAGAGTTAATATTTTTAGAAGATTTTATTTTTGAGTGTGTGCATGTGAGTGCAGTGGCCAGAAGAGAGCATTAGATCTCCTGGAGCTGGAGTTACAGTTAGTTGTGAACCTCTTGATGTGGGTGCTAGAAATCAAACTTGGGTCTTCTTCAAGAGTAGTACACCCTCTTAACCTTCAAACTGTCTCTTTAGCACCAACTGAGTTAAGTGTTTGTAGAGCAGTTTTAGGTTTACAGAAAGTGAATGGAAAGTATCTGAATCTTCTAGGCCCCTTAGACCTCATTTCCTCTCTTACTAACATTGCTTGCATTAATGTAGTATGTTTGTTTGTTTGTTTGTTTGTTACAGTTGAGGGGCCAATATTAAGAAATTGGATTTTTGGTTGCTTTGTTAAAAATATTTTTTTCATTTAAGAAAATTGAATGTGTGTGAATTTCATATAACATATTTTGATCATATTTAGATTTCCTTCCCTATCTGCCTCCCCTGTACTACCCTCCACCTAGTTTCCTCCGAGAGAGAGAGAGAGAGAGAGAGAGAGAGAGAGAGAGAGAGAGAGAGAGAGAGAATAGAATCAGGTTTGTGTCCTCCTTTGCCTTCAGCATGGGTTCATCACTGGAGCCTAGTCAACCTCCTAAGAGTTTCACTCTTAAATGAAATGGACTCTCCCCGCTCCCAGCAACCATTGGCTGCCAATAGTTCCTCAGGTAGGGTTGGGGTTTCTTATCTACTTGCTCATGTCTATAATGGAATTTTGTCTTAAACTTACTTGGGACTTGTGCATGCTGCCACAGTTGCTGTGAGTTCATGTGAGTAACTGCCAGGCTGTCTGGAAAACTGTTTCTTTGTGGTCATCCACCTCCTCTGGCTCTTAGACTCTTTCTGACCCCTTTTCCACAATGATCCCTGAGCTTTGGGAAGCAGAAGTTTGGTGCAGATGTCCTATTCAAAAATAAGCAGTCAGTAGCCTCTTATTCTCTGCAAATTGACCAGTTGTGGCTCTGTGTTAATCATCTGCTATATAAGGAAGCTTCTCTGCTGAGAGTTGAGAGATGCATTAATCAGGGCAGGGCAGGGCAGGGCAGGGCAGGGCAGGGAAAGCTCCCAGGGGCAGGCAAGGGTCCTGATGAACTGAGATGTGATGGCAGAGTGCAGGGAGTGTGGGAAAGGAAACTTGCCATGGCAGGTCTGGGAAAGCTCCCAGATCTGGGGTCCACAAGGGCCCTAGCAGACAGAGGAGAGATGGTG